AAAAATGTAATCTATGTGGCAAGTCCAGTCTAACTTGGGAGTTAATACTAGTCCCAGATGAGTTACTTTGTCGAGGTAGACTAGAGGAGAACCGTCTAGGACTAATGCAGGTGGAAGATTTCTGTTATAGTGACTAAAAAGCATGGCATTTGTCTTGGAAACATTGATATTCAAAAGCCAGTCTTTCGACCATTTAGAAATAACCTCAAGATCAGTGTTCATTTGAGTAAGGGCTTGCTTCATATCGGAAGCCACTACATACAACGAAACGTCATCAGCAAACAACTTACATGAACAGTGTAGAGATTGAGGCAGATCGCCATTTTGACTGTGACCCTATCTATGTAACCATAACTGGTGGATCCAAAGTATCTTAATAGCAAATGAGCGTTATCATCGCTTCTAACTATTGAAATTATAAGATAACTTTTAAAATAATGTAGTGGACGATAAAATTTAGCATGATGCCATTTATGATTTCCTGCGACAAATATTACCATCAATTGACGGATAAAATTTGTCTGTTTGAAAATTGTTGCCATCATTTAGTCATATGGCTATATGCCTTGAGATTTTTTGTGTAAGACGACGTGCGATTTTTTTACCTTGTACTATGAATGCGTACCTCCACTGTATCATTTGATCCAAAAAAACCTATTACTGAATATTATCTCCTATATTTGGTGGTATACAGAAAGAAAACCAAAAAAGAAAAAAGGTGACAAAAAGGAAATTCCTGAACAAATAAGAGTTCAGAAAAAGAGAAGTGATTTCTGGGTCAAAAAAGTGAAGGAGGAAAATAAAATTCAGTTTAGTATTTTCTGTTGCGGTGGATGAGCCAATGCATAAATATCAGCTGTCGTTAATTCCCTTGAATATAGACGAAATTCATCCATCAGACCAAGATACTGTCCGGTCACAATCGCTCCATTGTCTGCGCACACCTGAGTTGTCTCACTGCTGCCCAGTGTTATCATCAACGGCAAGCCTCCTAATTTGTATGGAAAGGATTCTGTTGAATCAATAAACGTTCCATCGACAAACAGTCTCACACCGTTCTCTGAACTGTATGTTTGAGTCACGTGTGTCCATTCACCTGTCATCGTGATATTCGGACCAATAATACTCTTCATAACTTCCGACCAAACTTGAACGACGATTTCTCCTCTCGAGCTAAACCCAATAAAAGGCACGCACCAGGATAGTTGTTTGGATGATACATGAACGATCGTGCCACCGCCGGCTACCTGCGTCGGCTGAATCCACAGTGAAATCGAAAATGGCTCATTACCCATGCCCAGCTCAACAAATCCCGATGCTTCAATGTAAGAATTCTGTTGAGCGAATTCAACAGCTCGGCCGACGACGCCGAGTACATGTCTCAGACCATTAACCGACTTTGTTGCGTTGAGCTTCAAAGGTCCTGAATCTAGCAAAAAGTTATCTTCAAATTGATAGTGAACGACGAGGGTAGCATCTCGAAGAATTTCCACATCCGATTTCGCTCTTGAAATAAATGACATTTGATCAAAATAACCTTGGAAAAAATCCGTTTTTTTGTATAGACTGTCGGTATATTGCGTAATCAACATTAGACAGAGGGGCGACAGCAAAAAGATTATATTTTGTAGTCGACGATCTTTTGAAAATACTTTTAAAAAATAATTTCCGTTTTTTTTTTTTTGTAGAAGGGCCTTTCCAAGTGTTTTCTTTCTGTTTTTGGCTCTGAAATACACCTAAAATTAGGCATGCACCAATTCTATTTTAAAGAGCATTGGAAAAATATTTCTAGTTCTAAGACTATTTGTTCTAAATGTTTTGTGAATACAAAGGATTGTCCAGCAGGTTTTCTGTACAAAATGAGGTAGGCTGAAGTTTGTATTTGTATTTGAAAAGGCGAAAATACTACCAAATTTAGACCGATTCTAATTCCGATTTTTGAGAAATAACCTATAATGTTTGCTCTAATGCTGACTCAAAATTTCCAAATAGTCTGTTTTGTAGAGAAAAGCGGCTGTAAGCCTACATTGTAGATAAAGGCTGATTTGAGAGATACAATTATTTTCGCAGATGCACCAAAAAACCAATTCTAGAATTGATTCATGCCTATCTAATACCATACAAGTATTTCATCAGAAAAATGTCTGACAAACGACTGAACCGAATAAAATGAATTCGGATACTTAAGAGTGATTATTCGATAGAGTCAGTCAAACAGAAACGATGGTGATCCATTTGCTGATTTTTACAGATATTGTAGAGAATAATAAGTTAGTAACAAATTTAAATTTTCTAGGCTAGATCTTGTGTCTGTCTGGAATTATGACTACCTAAAGTACTATCTATCGATAAAAATCAAAAATTAACTCTTTACACTACATTCCGCGAGATAAACGATTTTTCGCCAAACTGATAACTTGCACAAATAGGCTAGGACATTGTACGAACTATAATACAACTTCACATTCCATCATTTCTTCTCAGAGAACTGAGACAGGACATATCAGCAAAACTTTAAACCAAGGACCAACTGGATTTTGTCCACTGCTCGTGTTCCGCTATTCTCTCTACCAATGCACATTTTATTCAAAATTTGCGATTTAAACCAGTCAAGTCAAATACTTTTTACGCTGTTGTATATCACAGAGTTTCAGAGCTGGAATGATACATATATTTTCTGAAAGCGTTCTACAAGAATATATGAAAAAATTAAAAACACCGACAGACATGTGGTATTATTCTTGATAGTGAGTACTCGAGATACGTTCAAAATATGAAAGGGAATGAGATTCATCAAATTTGAAACAATTATCTCATTTTAAGTCGACTTTATTCGCCGATGACGAAGGCGTACAACTTTTGAAAACTGTAAAACTATCCAATTTTGTGCCATCTATCTGCAGCTCAGCTTAACTTCTACAGACTGGGAAATAATATTGTTTATGGAGTTTGCCCTGCTCTATCAGAATATGTAACGTATTTCCCAAATAGAGTTTGCAACAAAATAAAAATTCTGCATTAATAATTTTTTTTACTCGTATTTTGCGATTTTTTTCTCTATACAAAAATACATGTTTCTATCCAAATAAAATTATTTCTCAGAATGTTCATCGAAATCTGAATCGAATGAGATATAAAACAGCTACTGTTGATACGAGGCGTTGTTCGCTGTATTGCTGGTGTTTTATTCATTGAAGTCTACCTAATATGAAAAAGTAATTTTCTAGGTTCCTCACCCCTCACCTAAGTCCGTTCATTCGTGCAATTGTTTTAAAGAGGCCATTTGAAAGAGCGTCCTTTAAAATCCGTAAATAGCAAGATTCAACAGAATCGGTTTACGGGTTATTGCGGGAGATGGCGTGAACTATAACTTTCTTATGAAACACGTCTATCACAAAAATAATCAATTAGATGAAACAGTCTAATTTCAATCTATTTTCAACAGGTTTGTTTTCCATAGTTTAAAGGGACCTTCCATACGTTTTCTTTCTTTTATTTCAAATCATTGATTGTGTGAAATGAACTGAAACTATCTTTTTTTTGAAAAAATGCAAAAAATACGAAAGAACCTTTTTTCACGAAAATATAATTTCATATCAGTTTTTCGAGGCAAAAATGAATCATCTGCGGCAAGAAGGGGCCAAAAACGAAGAAAAAGTTGATTACATAACATGTAAATGTCCCATTACGAAACTCCAATGGTCAAGTTTCCACTCACACCCTGGTAAGCGCGACTGGCTGTTCTATAGCCATCGTTTACTCCATTCACATAGATAATCTGTTGTCTCGTCTCGTGGTCGAATACAAATGCCAAATGATACCAACGATTCAGCGACAACAGAGTTGTGCCCGTTAGATCATCATTTAAAAAGCCCAAATACGGTCGACCCTGTCGGATAACTAAATGTAAACATTTGTCCTGTGCTTGCTGTTGGCACTGCCCGAGAATTGCATTGTCCTGACCCCGTTCTAGTGACAGTTGAATTGGATACAACCAAACTTCGAATGTGAAACTCGAATAGCTTAAATTCAAATATGGCGGTGTCGGTATAATGACAGCTTGTTCTTGTGTCAAATTTAAAGCAGAACCGTAACCGGTGTAGCCTGGCGAAACATACGAGAGCTGAGAGCTATTGTCATTGTTGTTGAAAACAGGAAAGCCATTGTAAATATTGTAATAATCTTGTGTGTTCTGATCGAATTGCCATTCGATTTCTGTGATAAATGGATTCGACAACGGGTTCGCCAAAAAGTGGATGTCACGCGATGTCAACTCTCGAGAATAGAGACGAAATTCGTCGATCATGCCATGATAGGGTCCGTGAATAAACGGAGAAAATGATCCTGATATTATACAATCCTGCTGAGGATTACTCAGTGTCAATGTCACAGGTACCCCAGCTCCTACATATGAAAAGGGCCCGGTTGTGTCAATAAAGGTTCCGTTTAAATACAAGCGAATACCGTTAGTTGAACTGTATGTTTCAGCAACATGGGTCCATTCACCCTCAGGGATATAGGGGCCGGTGAGAGCTACAATTGGATCTGACCATGAACCCTGAACAACGATTTGCCCCGTTGGACTCAGACCGATAAATGGAGCGCAATAAGTAGGAACAACACCGCTGTAGTCATGTTGATTTGTTATGTAAACAAGAGTCGATTCTGGTGCAGACGTCGTCGGTTTAATCCACATTGTAATTGAAAATGGATAATCGGATTTTCCAAGCATAGTAAATCCAGTCGCCTGGAAATACGACGTGCTAGGCGTGCACAGCACAGCTTGACCGACCACGCCGGTTGAAAATGAAAATGGTGACATTGTACCATCAATATGCAACGGACCTGAATCTCTATGATTATCTTCAAATTCATACCAGACAACCAGTGTTGCATCTGTCAATATTTCCGCGTCTGTTTTCGCTCTCGATACATACGACAGTTCGTCCAAATAGCCATTGAAATAATCGACATCCGCACTGCGAATTTTCGACAGACCAATGGTAATGTTTCCACCTTGACCTTGGTAGACACGTTGCGCTGTTCGAAACCCGTCCGGCATACCGTTGACATAAATAATTTGTTCTCGAGTTGTTCGATGAAAAATAAACGCCAGATGATACCATTGATTCAACGAGAGAAGTGTGGCCCCGATTAAATCGTCATTCATAAAGCCGAAATAGGCACGACCTTTCCTGATCACCAAATGAAAACATTTGCTGGCCTGGCTATTTGTTTGACATTGACCAACGATGGCATTGTCTGTAGTCATCGAAAGATTGGTTGCATAAATCCAAACTTCAAATGTGAAACTAGAATCGCTTAATTTCAAATGCGGCGGTGCTTGAACAACCACACTTTGGCCCTTGCCAATTGCTAATGCTGAACCGAGGGAATTGGTGTAGCCTGGCTTTGTGTACATTATTTTGTGTGAAGCGTGGATGTCATCATCAGCGGGTTGACCATTAAAAACACCCCGTGCATCATTTAAAGTGTGGTCAAATGGCCACAAAATGGATTCTAGAAAAACAGAAAAATAACGTGCCTTGTAACAGGAACAGTCGCTCTCGAACGGGGTGAATAGACTGGAGACCATCAGCTGACGAGACGATCAATAAAAAAGCTCAAAATTTCAATTTAATGAAAATGAAATAGGAAGGAAATATGAGTCTCGTGGGAGACAAGGGTTAAGTTCAGGAAAGCTGATTCTGATTTTCAGAATTTTTTACTTCGCAGCCGCATTTTAAATATACAGCAGTTGTTTTTCCAAAATAATAAAATGTGCTAAAATGTTAACACATCTTCGCACAGTTATGTTTTTTCATTCTTCGCATGAAATCCGAATACTCTGTTTTGAGGTATTGAAATAAACTATGAAAGTTCTATGTTCTAGTTCGAAAAAAGAGCGGAAAAAATTCAGAAAGTCAAAGTGATTTTTGATGGCGCATAATATGTTTTCAACACTCTTTAATAGTTTGCGTGCTACAGCCAAACGGTGTATCTTTATTTCTAGATTAAGGCATAGTTAGAAAGCAGACAAAATTTCGCATATTTTGACACTAGACCGTAATTTTCCAAGTTTATTTCAGTGTCTCAAGAAATGAAAGCAAAATTGCCGAGTTATTTATGCGTCATCCTTTATATTAAAACATAGTTTTCTGCAGTACTTATCGTAACTATAGTATATTTAGAATATTTCGATCTATCAGAAATTCCAAAATCTTGAATGCACGTTTTTTCTTTCTCCATTAAGAGTAAACCCCCCTCCCTCTCCTCTTTTTTTCACCTTGTTGCCAAATGCAAATCACACATCCGATCGAGTTCAAACTTATACCAGAGATAGAAGATCGAAAAAGAAAGTCGATGTATCTTTGCTTAGAATTTTGTAAAGTGATCTTCTATGAGTTTTCCTCAAGTCACATTACGACCTGCCGAAAAAATGGCCCGATCGAGTCGAAATTTTTACCACAGATACTCCAGACGCTATCTCAGAATGAAAATTTGTTTTTAGAAAAATATGCTTTCCTTTTCGAGATATAAGAAAAATACTGAAAACAACGGACTTTTTTTGTGTGATTTTCAACATTTTTCTTATATCTCGAAAAGGAAAGCATATTTTTCTAAAAACAAATTTTCATTCTGAGATAGCGTCTGGAGTATCTGTGGCAAAAATTTCGACTCGAGGACCATTTTTCGATAGGTCGCGATGTGACTGGATTAGAATCCCTTAATTCACTTTGAGCAAATATTGTATAGTTGTAGAGAAATATAAAAATTCTTTTTTTGTAGAATATGGGCATCCCTTTCAGAATGCTTTTTCGTGATGTATTAAATTCGGTTATATACCTATGTTCCTCTAATCACCTGTTAGCGTTGCAATATAAGGCGTGGTCGGCTGTGTGGTCGTTGTCAGTACTAATAAAGAAAATACACAATTTGTATAACCAGAAATTTAAGTAAATATAACTCTCATTACCTGTTGTTGCTGTTGTAGTTATAGTAGTTAAAGGAACTAAAACAACAACAAAAAATGATATCATAAAAATACAATAGTGCGTGTACATACTTCTTGTTGTTGTTGTGTGGATCATGAACGGATTTGCTAATTTGTAAATGTCTGTCGATGTCAGTTCTCTTGAATAGATTCGAAATTCGTCGATTAGACCATGATACGGTCCACTGATCAGTGAATCTGACGCTGGTTGACAGCCAACATGAGCACCCAAAATAACAGTTATCGGTATCGGGTCAGTATTTTGCAAATATGAAAATGGTTCTGTCGAGTTTATAAATGTACCATTTAAATGCAGGCGAATGCCGTTCGCTGAACTGTATGTTTCAACTACATGCACCCATTCATTCATTTTCAAATCGGGACCACTGAGCAAGACACTGTTGGACGCCTCTGACAAACCTTGAACAATCAACTGTCCTGTCGAACTGAATCCGATCAATGGCATGCAATAAGGATTACCAACACTTACCAGACCGTGTGGATTATTTGATATATGAACAAGCGTCGATGCACCCACAGTTGCCGGACGAATCCACATTGAAACTGAAAATGCTTTAGCCGATGATTTAAGCAGCATAGGTAACCGTTGTGCTTCGAAAAAGGATCCGCCATCGTCACCAGGCGGGAAAAACAATGCCTGGCCGATCATTCCAGCAGTGTATTCAGATGGCGTTGACATTGTTCCATTTAGGAGTAGAGGCCCAGAATCCAACAATTGATTTTCAAATTGATAGTAGACAACCAAAGTTGCATCGTCCAGTATTTCTTCATCCGTTTTGAGGACTGTTCATTAAGAACATTTACCCTAAGTTTTGATCCCTTCTGTACCCACTCCAGGGGATATACTCCTTTTGGACGTCTGATTTCAAAAAGAAATCGATACAAAATAGTAATGAAAATTTATATGTATTTAAAAAGTTTTTACCGCAGATACCAGAGACTCTAGCATAGCATTGTTTTTTTCTTTGTTTCCTTACACATTTTTCCTTCAAGCTTTGAAGAATTGGGTGGAAAAAACTGGCGGTCTGTATCTGAGGGCTGCCCTTAAAAATAGACTTGAAATATTGATAATAGATTATCCCGTTTTCGACGCTAAGTTTTATTTTCCTCCCGCCGTTCTTTCAGTATCCACCTGTGAATTGTATTTTAAAGACGCGCTTAACGGACGATCTCTTTGCTCGAGACACATAAGACAGTTGGTCGAGATAGCCATCGAAAAAATCAACATTATTTGTTGGACGTATTTCTGAAACGCCAATCGTTATTTTTCCACCTTCACCCATGTAGGGTCTTTCTGATGTTCGATACCCATCTGGGATACCGTTCACGTAAACAATCTGTTCTCTTTTTGTATTATTGAACACAAAGGCCAAATGATACCATTCATTGACTTTGAGCAGTGTCGATCCACTCACATCGTCAAAAAAAAAGCCCAAATACGTAAGACCTTTCCGAACAACCAAATGTAAACATGAATTGTTGCCTACCCCAGGGGTTTGACATTGACCCAAAATGGCATTATCCGATGTTAATGAAAAGCTTTTGCCGTATATCCATACTTCGAATGTGAAACTTGAATAACTAAGATTTAAATTCGGCGGTGACTGTATAACAACGTGCTGTTTGGTTGACGGTTTAAGCTGCAAGGCTTGACCTTTCCCGCTGTAAGTTTCTGTAATGTAAGTAGGGTTGTTCATCGGCTGGCCGTTGTAAACATTATATAGATCATTTGTAGCCGAATCAAATGGCCATAATATCTGAACTGTAAAAACATAAAAAAGAAAAGACTTAACTTATTTCTCAAATGTTTATCAGCTCTTCGATTTTCTATTTCTGTGTTAGGCCTGTTTTAATAAAAAGCATGACGGACACTTTCTCTAGAAAATTACATCAAGTCAATGAGGAGAAAAGCTCTGTTTACTTAGGTTTAAATTTAACGATGCCTCTGCAACAACATACTGCCTGGATGATTCTGTTAAACGTAGGGCTTGATCGTAGTCCTTGTAGCCTAAAGAAAGGTACGCAGGATTATTCAGCGACTGGCCGTTGTAAACATTGCACAGATCATTTGTATTATTATCGAATAGTCACAATGTCGGCTGTCAAAGAAAGAGAGACGGCAGTACTTTCAAAGAAACAATAAAATTTCTGATTACGAGTAGAAAATGCTCTAGATTCCGACAAAAGAATATGATTCGAAATTCTGGGGGATTCTATTAATATGTGAATAGGGTAGTTCTATTCGAAGACTGTCCGTTCACTAAACGAACGAAGCAAAAAATCTACAATATGAGACTCACCGGTATCGTCATATTAAGCTCTAGTTGCAGAGGCGGTTCTGTTTATTTTCTGTATTCAGATGTCCTGCAGAATTTTTTTAATGCTCTTAAAATCAATAAACAGGGCTTTTTTGCGGCATAGTATTTAATATCCCTAAAAAATCTGATTCTTTGATTCAACGTCACGTGATTTAAAAAAAAATAGCTCTTTTTTTCCCTATTCGAAGATTTATCTTATAATAATTACCTATGGGTCCTGAAATAAAAGCCGAAGTAGTCACAGTTGCTGGCAACATCGTGATGATGGCAGTAGTTGATCTTGTTGGTGGGACTGTAAACAAAGATATTAAGTGTTGTTATTGTTCATTCTGCATAGTATATTCGAACCTGTTGTGGGAGACGTTGGCATTAACGTGGTCGTCGTTATATTTGCGATTAACGGTAAAATAAATGAATCTATGGTTAGAGAAACATTTGCCAACACTTGAGACATCAATTTGGCTCCTTGTATCATCTTGAAATTCAATTGACAATCGTCCAACGGTTGTCCATCATTCACACATTCTGATATGATAACTTGTATAGCACTTTGACCATGCTACAGAAAGAACCTTTTTGTGTTTGTAAAATTATACAGCATTACCAGGTTGTTCAGAAGAAATGGGTGATTTTTTATTTTCAAATTTTCTCGATACAGCCTCAATAGTTTTTCCGATTTTTGTTACCAAAAGATGTGTTATGAAATTCTTCACAAGAATATATAGGGACGTTTGATCTCATACTTCAGTATGAAAAACTAAACAAATAATAGTGTGAAACTTCGACATGTCCAGCTGCCTAAAGTTTTTTTCTCAAAAAATTGAGACTGTTTTTTTACCGTTGTACAAATAAAAACTCGTTAATGCAAGTTTTCTTTGTACAATTAAGCGTGCGCTTTCTAGTCGTGTAAAGTGAAGTCCGTTTCAACCAAGTATTATGACTGAACAACTACTGTAATTTCTGGAAACTGGGTAGGAACCGGTCAAAAGCTTTTTTGCGGGTTTTGAATGAGAAATAAATTTTTTATTGAAAAGTCACTAGACCGGTCCGTGCTACCATTGTAGACGCCTTTTCTCAGCATAGGAAACGATATAAAAAAAACCGAGCTATACTTTTGTAGCTCGCCGAACGGCGCTTCGAATGACGTTTGAATGGGAGCTCTATCTATCAGCAAAAGAAACTAGATAGGTTTGCATTAACTAGTACAAAACGGAGTGACACTAAATGTTCGTTTTCCAGGTTGAACATGTGATATCTGATAAAGCTTTAGATAACGCTTCTAGACCCATTTGCATATGAGGAATTCGAAAATCATATTGGCGAGAGCGAACCGGCAGAGGTATAAACGTTGTTTGTTGAAAACCAATTGTTTTGCTGAGTTTTAGACCCTCTCAGTACCGTGCGTTTTTCTCCATGAAGTTTTTCTCAAATCGAAAAAATACATAGATATTCGTGATCAGCGTGAAAAGCGAATCTAACAATGTATGTTTAAGCAAAAAATAAGCGATGCTGTAATTTTAAACTACCGGCACCTTACCTAATTTTACTATAAGTTCCCACGTCGAAGAAATTGCGATATATTTAACAATTAATCGCGATTCTTGAAAAATCGCAGATTAATTGCGATTAATTGGAGATTCTGATTTGTTTTAGTTTCAAAAATGGGAATTAATTGCTATTAATTGATGATTTTAAACGATTAAGTGGTTATTGCTATTCACCATCTTATTTTGTAGTAACGTATGTATATAAGAAACACGGTTTCGACGAGAAATACAGATCTATTTAGATCATCTTTTTATTTTGACGCAATACGGAGTTGTTAAGTTTTCTCTATGATCCCTCAGAGCTTTAGGTCAAGGAGCCCAGTGAATAGCTGGTATCTGGGCAATGTCTAATCGACTCGTCGGAAAGGCTTCGACTTCAGCTGGTACTAAGACCCTTGCTGGGTGACGTACTTGTCATTATACATAATAAACAATGAAAATACAGAAAAAAATATGTAATTCCTAAGATGTATTCGAAGTTATTATCAAGAAAAAAATCGTCAATTAATCTCGATTAATCGCTAAGATCACCCGAAAATCACCTAAAAATCGGCAATTAATCGCGATTAAGCGCACGGTTAATCCTATGATTTTCCACCATTAATTGTCGATTTTTGTGCGATTTTTAGTACATGGGTTGGCTATAAGAAGAGAGACAGTGAAAGAAAGAAATTACTACCAAAGGCGTGGTAGCAATTCGTCAGCATCTCTCCAAAATTTCGATGCTACTCTAAAAATTATGGATACTTTCGATAAAGGCCAGAAAATTTTCGATACTTGCGAGATCGATACCATGGATGTCGGTATCGATAATCCGCTGTTCGGGTGCAAAAAATATTCGATGAATTTCTCGTATTTTCTGATTTAGGTCGGGCTGTAGATCAAAACAAAGAAGAAAAAGCGTACTACTGTAACTTTGTGTGGACTTACATGTTTATTGCCTGTTTCTTCAATATCCTTGAGACATGCTAATTCTGCATTTTCAACGATATTTTGTCGAGGCTCACAATGCATTTGTATCATCGTTTGTTTACCCATGTTTAAATATTTTTGACAAATTCGTGGAGCTAACTGAGAAATGATTTGTTCTGCAGTAAAGTCTGCTTTGGCGACGCCGACGTTGCCACTGCCACTTTCCAATTGGCAAATGTCGAAGAACAGCGCTGGTGCGACACACAATCCCGTCGACTGGCCGATCTGTTCGGGTGACATCCAAATGTTAATATCATACCACGACGGAAGCTATAGTGAAATAACGGGTTCATAATGAACGATACTCTTTGTATTTTCCATCTATGTCGCGTTCCTCTGACCCTTCAGAGCCGATTTTTTTCCGGAAGATTACTCATTCAGTTCTCTGTAAAATGTGTTTAAATGTCGTGATAATTATCTGAGATGCATTCATCTGAGGTTCATCTCATATACATAATTTACAGTGTTTTGTAGAGAATTGAATGGGAAGGCTTCTGAAAAAGATCAATAGAATCGAATCTAGAGAAAAAACTAAAAAAGACGAAGACTGACATTTCTTCTAATTCACTCGTTGCCGTTACATATCTGGTCGACAGAAAAGGAAAAAAAGAAAGAATGGTCTCACGTTGTTGTTGTTATACTGATGAATAGATACACGAAGTTGAGCATCAGGATATGATATTTCCATCTGCCTTGTTGTTGGCCAAATGATGTTGACGCCTACGTAAAGATAAATGCTGCGATGAGAAGCGGATTCTATGACTTGACTTACCCGGGCTTTGACAATTTTGTTTAAAGTCATTTATTTTACACAATATTTCGTTTGTGCCGCCGTTAAAAAATACAAATTCAAACTAAAAATAAATTATAAAAAGTAAAAGTAGTCTAGTGTGTATATCTGTTGAGTAGATAATTCACATCCTCTACTCCAATCCACTGTTGTCTGAAATTAATTGTTAAAGTTGAATTCAAAAATTTATTTGTTAACAGTGAAAATGTTCCATCCTGTTTACATCGGTATTGAGGTCTCGTCGCTGTTGTTGTTGAAGGAAATATCATTAAATGATGATCACCATAAACATGACACAGAGAACGTACTAATTTGGTGGTGGCTGTACAAAAACAAGAAGAAGAAATAAAATGAATCAAAGCTACAGACGGTAGTAAAATTTTGACTTTTCTACCATAAACAACGCCATGTACTAAAAAGTCGACTTTTTTCTGAAACTACTCGGCCGTTTAAACCCATTTTTACTAATGCATTGTCCAGTCCTACTATCTCTTTTGATGGAAGGTCTTAGTGAGTCCGTAGTGTAATTTTGTAGAGGGCACTTGGCTCTTTACTGGGCTACGCTCAACCAGAAATTTTATGCTTAACTGATTTTGCCAGTATTACAGGGCCGAGGGGTACGGGAATGTAGTCTTAGAATAAAATCCACCTGTTTCGTTTATGCTTACCGGGTGGTGGCGTTGCTGAGTTTGTCTTTCCTATAAATAAATAAACAAACACATAACATGGTAATTGTTCTGAAATAAAATAACTACGTAACTCATTCAGTCTTACCTTTGGTCTTAACAACCACAATCGGAACGACAATAACAAGCACGAGTAGAACAAAAAGTCCAAGAAACATTAAGTATCGTTTGTTTATATACTTATTTTGCCATTCTTAAAAAGAAAGAATAAATACAAAATACATTTCCATTAAACAGGAAATATCCGTTATGTTACTTTGTTTATTTAATGCATTGTCCAGTCCTACTATAATTGGCATCGTCATCTGAACTGCATTTTCATCGTTATCCCCACCCTGTAATAAACGCAGAAGCATATGGGAAAAGAAGATCGGCTCTACAAGATGTTTTTACCATTGATGATTTGTATATCATTGAAGCCATTCATTTAACTTAAAAAATAAACTGTTGTGCTGATGCTGCAGACTTGTTTTAACTATGCTGCATTTTGACTATACGATTAATGTTGACACTGTGAATGTGTTAGATAACAATTCTATCTTCGATTCTCTGTAACGACGAATATGAGATGTGTGGTGATGAATAACAGAAACGTTAGCTACACACACACACCTGTAAAATGTGCTCTATGGACGATGATGTCACATGTTTCAAACCACTAACGTATACAACAGAAAACATGTTTTGCAGTATTTTTAGAAAAATCCGCCCACTTTTGTCTTTTCTGACCTCTGAAGCTTGGTGGTTGAAACTGACGTCCATTTTTTCAAAATGTGGCCCTGACCATTTCTGAAGACAATGGCCTAATTTTGAACAAGCTTAAAAAAACTTGAACACTTGTTGTTGTCAGTTTTTGTACTGCAATAAAGTTTGGTTCTAGCCTTAAAATATGCGGAATTTTGTTTAATTTCTAACTCTATTTGAACCCATAAATAACGGCGCATTATTTGCCCGCAGTATGCAAAATACTAAAGAGCCGCAAAAACACATACGGCACCGTCAAAATAGCTTACCTTTAACTTGTACCTTTGAACCCATTTAACATATAGTCTATAGTTTACTAGTCACATGTTTTGTAAACAGGTTGCACACTATATGAAGCAAATATCTTTTATGTGAAACTACTTTTCAAATTTGTCTTCACACTGCCCTCATTGCCCCTTCCCCTACACACTGCCAGAAATACTTAAATTTGTATTCGGAAACATTCATGGAAGAGTCGGGGTCCTGTTCGCGGAAGAGTCGGTTCGTGGAAGAGACATTCGCGGAATAGTCCTGATACGAGGAAAATAAGATCGTTCTGCTCACAACATTTAAGAATTAACTGAACAGCAGCTATCAACCTAAGCTGAATTACAACGAGGTATTGAAAAAATGCTCTGCTTTCGGATACCGAAGACCAGCTTTTATCTCAATCTTTTTGTGTCGAGCATAAGGACACCTAGGTGTTTCCACACAGCTCCTTGCAAACTGACGGTGACCAAAAGCCGGCAACTTCAAACCACGCTACTTTTGTCGCGCATGTTCGTTGTTTAAGAATTCATATTCAATTTCTGTTAAAAGTTATGGGATAACGGCGGGAAGATGAGGCTGACAGATACGATTTTATCGAAAAATCTCTACCGGTGACGCTCTGTTTTGTATTCTATTTTTAAAGCTTCAGAATTTCCAAAAATCTGAAACAACTGAAAGAATTAGTGAACTACATGATTTAATAGCCCATTCAATTCGGAACGAAACGAGATGTCTTCAGCTCTATGCGCATTACCATATCCTGGAGAAACGAGAAACAAAGTTAGCGCCACGCTTTTCTCAAAACCACTGAAGTCTTTCCTCATAAACTTCGGACATTTGAGACATTTTCAACAATCTCTGGAGAAAGGATATGAAAAAACTGAGAGACATCTCGTTTTGTTCAGAATTGAACGGGCTATCAAGTCATGTAGTTGAATAATTCCTTCGGTTGTTTCAGGGTTCTTCGGAAAACAAATTTTCGAGAAAACTTCCTCATCGGATCTCTATCTTAATTGAAGAATGAAAAGTTTCAAACTATCGCTGGTCATAGTACTAGTAGATATGTACTTATCAGAACATTTTGAGAGAAATCTGCTGGGTAGTTTTCCTGAAAACCGATTTCAAACTCCGGGATTTTTGGAAATCCTGAAACATTAAAAATAGAACAATTCGAGAATGAAAAGTTATACGACTCGGACTTTGTGGTACCTGGACCAGAAAGTCTTGGGCTATCTTCTGAATATACAATGGATTATATTTCATTCATATACAGGCACATAGCCGCATAATTGAAATCCTATTGGTTTCTATATTTTTGACTTTACTCCACTACGATGAATCTTCAACACGAAGCCGTGAAAAGCACGTTATATAGACAGCTTTCCACTCTCTATTGAATGACTGGTTCAGATTTTCGTAATGTTTTTGGATAAAACAGAACGGAGCGTAGAGATTTTTCGATAAAATTATATCTATCGGTCTCACCCCAGCCGTTATCGCACAACTTTAACAGAAATTGAACATCAACTCTTAGAAAACGAACACGGACTACAAAAATAGCGTAGTATGAAGTTGCCGGCTTTTGATCAATATCAGTTTGGAAGGAGCTGTGTGGAAAGAACCAGTTGATAATTCAGTCCATCACTGATCAAATTTTCAATTGCTCATTGATTCAAAAGTTTAAATTTTGCAAGTTTTTTCTATCTATCAAAATCTTTCGCAAGCTATCAAACAGACATTCAGTCGCATACGTGCTTTCATCCAACTTGTCGTTGCATACCAGATGAGCGCTAATTAATTATTTCTCATAATACTTAGAGCATACCAAAAGTAATGACGCCATCACTTTATTTCCTTATAGAAAGCTTGAAGAAATTTTCTTTTTTTATGCAATTACAGACAAAACGATGCTCTATTTTTCTATGCTATTTCATCACTATTCAACTAATGTCGTAATTATAAAATTTTCAAAAGAAAGAAAAAAGAGCTGTTTCTTACGATATGTCATGGTTATATGAATGCTGATATTTTCTGAATAAGTTTTGATAGAAACATAGTAGAGAGCTGTGATTTTCACCATTGAAAAGAGGAGAAGAAGACGCATCGAACCATATACTACAGATTTTTTAACCTGTTTTTTGTAAGGTTTTCAGTTGACCTTTTAAAGAACAAACCTTTCTCGTGGGTTGTTGACAGTGAATTTTTAATAGTCCGGTTCGCATTCCAACCGCTGCTCAAAGATCTGCAAACTGTGAAAGACTGAGGTGTTTGAATTTAATTATTTAGGGATGATATGTATTCTAGTCGAACCTCTAATACGATTTTCTAGCAAATTTTTTGCTTTTTGCTTTTTTTCATTAAAAATGCATTTTTCAGACGGTTAGAAAATTGAATAAAAAAAAACTTCGAAAATCATACTAGAAAAATCTTAGTATACGATTCGATGCATCTTCATCTCCTCTTTCCAATCGTAAAAACCGCAGTTCTCTATCTTGTTTCTATGAAGAGTTATTCAAAAAATACTCACGAGCATTCACGTTACCATCAGACATGCGAAACCAACAGGTCTTATCGAAATTTTATAATTATGACATTAGTTGAATAGTGATGAAGTAGCATAGAAAAATAGAACATCGTTTTGTCTGTAATTGCATAAAAAGAGAAAGTTTCTTCAAGCTTTCTATAAGGAAATAAAGTGATGGCGTCATTACTTTTGGTATGCTCTAAGTATTCATAATGAAATTGAACAAAAGAGAAAAACAGAATAAGTTTTATATTTACCATATCCTCTCATAGCCTCATTGCGGTTGTATTGGAATTCATCTGCAGGAAACGAGGAAAGGGGAAATTCCTTTTTTTCAACAGAAATAGACTTTGTAATGTAGCATGTGTGAAACTTCAGTGGGTGGTAAATGGTGTTCTGAACCTCCGATGGTTTTTATTATTTTATTCGTTATAAATACTCTGTAAAATGACAATTAAAAATAATTATGCACAAATCAAAACATGTTATTGAAATCAATAAATAAGATAGTTTACAATTAAAACGTTCACCATAATTAACTAAAACGTTTTTATATGCTGTTTATTATTTGCCAGACTAAATCTAATATAGTTAAATGCATGAAACTTCAGTTGAGGACAACCGAATCAGTTGAAGATTCAGTACTGTCATATTGTATGGCTCATTAGCGGATGGGTATGGGAGCGTATACAGATGAGGCAATTTTTGCATCTGCAGACCTTTAGTTAGTTCATTTGCTCAAAAGAATCGTGTTCATTTAAAATAAATTTTAAATGGATCCCACCAAATGAATTTTTTATTAAAATCCGCAAGAACCCTTTTTACTGTCGCGTACAATCGCATATTTGAATCATGATGAAAGTTTGAAAGAGCTTTTGAGTATTGGGGAATTTTTTGTGCCCACTCCAATAGTGCTGCAAGTTCTATTTTTTCCGCAAAGACGCCATACCCTAGTTGTTCTAAATACCATGCGTTAAGTACCTGCTCATACTGATTCGCGACTGGGACACTGAAAAATGGTCGCTGTAAGCTTACCGCTTCGTTCATCAGGGAGAGTCCACCATTAGCAATGACACCTTTAGCACGCGCCAAGTCATCCACAAATCCTTGTTCAGAAAAACCTTTGAATTGTAGATTACCAATTTTTTCCTCGCGACCAAGCCCATAAATTATGCATTTTTCGCCAAAGGCTTCTAAAGTAGCGATAAGAGATGTATCACTTTTGCTAGTTTGGTAAACAAGAAAATGCTCGCCATGTTCGGCTGGTAATGTTTTTGCATCGAGAATAGCCTGGCGAAGAATTGGTGGAACAAGCATGGTAATAGCTTTGTATGTGTCACGAATATCGGGATAAAAGAAACCAGTGATTATATATTGATCGCAATCTGGAAGTTTCGCCTGGACAAATGCTTTGTATGTATTGAATGCTTTTGGATCATACTTTTTAGCTTCGTCTGGAATTAAACACCGCTGTACAACTTGTTGATTGTCGATCGACAGGATTGGCAGACCATGTGTTTTAGCGAAAACATAAGCGAAGCTATCGAAGTCACTAATAACAGCCTGAGGTTTCCAAAGAACAAGATTTTGAAAATAAGCCATAGTATTTTTGTTAACTATATTTGGCAAGCGTTTCATGGTATGTAAAACTGAAGCTTTCTCGTCGAAAACATTGTTGATATATTCCATTATTAAACCTTCGATTTCTACTATATCGATAGCTGCCTGACCGTCGCTCGCTGCCGCACAACGTGGAAATTGACTTGAAAAGTTTCCATCAAGAAACTTATATGCACGATTACTCACGACCACTTTGACATGATGTTGTTCCTTCATGAGCATTTCAAGAATGACTTTAGATCGTGTTGCATGTCCCATTCCCTCACCGACTACACCATAGAGAATGCGCATGGTCTTAGATTTTGATGGTTCAATTAGAGGTAAAATTGATAAACGAATTATGCGACTAGCTTCTTCTTGTATTGTTTGATTATTCTTATCATCACCTAGCGTAACCGATTCAATCTTGATATTTGTATTAACAAATTCTTTATTAAACTGACTGATAAATGTATTTAATGCAATTTTTGACGAATAACCATTAAATAATCCAGTCAATGATCTAGTATTAGAATTTCTATCACTCACTTTACCATATACATTAATTACACAGCTAGATGGAGATTTCTGAAGCAAAGGTTTAAATGCTTGCGTTATAGCTAATGTATCAAAAAACTCTTTTGCTTCAAATCCGTGAGGTGTCATAATATTTATTTTAAATTGATCATTATTAAATAATATTCCAACATTAACTAATATATCTAATTTTCCGAACTGTTTATCGATTAATTCAGTAATTTTATCAATTGTTTTGTGATCAATAGCATCAAGTAAAATAAAGTTAGCTTGAATCTCTTCATCATTCAATCTCTTTGTTACTCGTTCGAGGTTCGTCTCATTACTTGAACAAAATAAAACACATACACCTTTTCTTCCTAATTGGTAAGCTATTTCATCTTCTAATTCATCACTATTACCAATAATTAAAGCAACAAGAAATGACATTAATCAAGAGTTTTTCTACAATTAAGTAATCTAAAATTAATATGGTCAGTTTCACTAATTACTATGAGGTAACTAGCTGTGTTACAAAGCATTAATATTCTTTCTTCTATTAACAATAATAAATGTAAACAAATAAAAGCAGCACAATACTAATAAAATTATACATGAGGAAAAACTGTTATTACATCTTGATCGTCCAAGAACTAACGTATAACCTCTAGTGCAAACTTTGTATGAATTTATGTTGACACAAAATGCACCGGCTATCTTGTTGTCATAAAATCATGATAAGGAATGAAGAAAACGAACGAATAGATGACTAAAATAAAAAGTCCAAAAGTCCAAATTTTATTATTTTTCATTTTATTTATTGTTACGGTTTGTTTTCGCTATTGTAAAAATCATATCATTTTATCGATGTAATAGTGAACTTCAAAAAATATTCTGTATTACAGAGTGAACGTTTCCCGACAAATTTGTGTGAGTTTAAGATTTTCGTACATTCGTTTTTATCATTTTCTAGTCACTTTTCAGATAGCGCGTAAATTGAAATTTAGGACTATATTTAAAATCTTTCGTATTTCACCACGGATACATCATCCGGAGTTGAGAAACATCCCATCTCATAGAGAAATGTTAATGTGGTCAATGAACTCAACTATCAGGAGTTTGTCAAAAGCTATTAGTTTCCTTACCACGTTCTTTTGGAAAAGAAAAAAAAGGGTACCGTCAGCCGATCAAGCCATAGATTACAATGCTGTCGTATATATTAGTTCACAAAAGACTATCGACAAACAAGAATCGTGTCGACGAATCACGTTAAAAAAGTGTCGATGAATCGAGCAATAAATCAGTGTTGACGAAACGATAACAGTTTGTGACGAAACAAGAATATCTTGCGTTTTTCACCTGTTTCTTTTATTTAACTAGGTGCGAAAAAACCGGCAAGAAATAGACAAGCTGAATTGTCAGTGAGTACCACGTATAATAATGGTATCATCTTTCCTTTGGGTCTTGCTATGTGTGAGTTGAAGGAGTTTGTTTGTGGGCCATGCTTTTGTCGCGTACTGATTTACAGGTGTGGAGTTTCTGACAATAGTATCAGCTTGACTGTTCGTTCTTTTTTCCTTATTTTAGTTCAACTCTAAAAAAAAATATGTTTCATATGAAACCTTTTTTCTCCTGAAGACTTTAGAAATGATTCCACTTCTCTAAACCATAGCTACGAAATCTTTTATATGGTTTCGTAATTGCAAAACGATATCGAGGAAACATACCAAACTCTCATTGGTTTGATATGAGCCGTTCAGAAATTTCATAAGGAATCGTACGAGTCACCAATTTTTTTGATGGTTCGGCAGGGTTTTGCACACAAAAAAGGTTTTGTATGTTGCTTATTGGAAAACGTACGTTTGTATAAAACCCTACCGACCCATCAAAAAAATCGGTGACTCGTACGATTCCTTATGAAATTTCTGAACGGCGGCGAATCAAACCAATGAGAGTTCAGTACGTTTCCTCCTTCAATTACGAAACCATATAAAAGATTTCGTAGCTGCTACGGAGACTATATGGTTTAGAGAAGTGGAATCATTTCTAAACTCTTTAGAGAACAAAGGTTTCACATAAAACCTATTTTTTCAGAGAAATAAATAAAATTTATTCCGAGTAATTAAAAATTTATCCTGAATCAGCATGATTGTTGCCATGTAATACATCTATATTAGCACAAAAAATCGAAAGTCCGTTAACGATTCCATCATTTTCATCTACAAACGTCATGCGGTCAACGAAATATTTGAGAAGAAAGAAGATACAAAAGGGCTAGCAATAATGGAAAAAAAGAACGGAACATAAAACTAACAGCAACGTTTACATTACGTACATATGGCACATCATCGTTAGTAATAATACATCATTTTTTTACATCACCAATGGAGAAATTTTAGTAGGTACCCCGGTGTGTACACGCGTGAATATCGTGAAATGAATTGTGGTCGCACGTGAACATCGTAAAATGGTGTGTGGGCACGCGTGAAAAATATATTCCACCTGTGACAACAGGTGAACTGGTTACGAAAACGTTTCGCGTCATATTTTTCGCACGTGATCACCGGTGAAAGTCGTGAAGTGTGTAGTGGCCACACGTGAATTTCTCATGTTAAAATTTCCGTAAAAAATATCGCTTGCGGACACGCGTGAAAATGATTCCCACTAATTTCATTGTGAAAAAATCTTCACATTTATTCGCACGTCAGTGTTTCACGCAACTCATTTCGTGAATAATATTCACGCTTAATCGCAAGCGACAAAATTCTTACGTTTCACGCACGTCCACGCGTGAAACCTTTTACAGGTGTGAAATGTCGTGAAGATTGAGCGGCGAACATAAATACAAATTTCTCCTATATCTTTCGAAAGTTGTACATACATACCAGATGAAAACCTTTCTTGTAGACCGAAGGTATTTTCTGTAGGAATATGCCTGGGAATCATCTTATTCCCCGGGAGGAAGTATTAACTAAAATAGTTTGGAAAAGTTGGAAACTAAGAAAAAAGATTTAGGAAGTTCACGAGTAATCACGCGTGAGAACTGTTTTACACGTGGTAACTCGTGAAGATTGATTCGACAAGTATGAATATGAGATTTATTTAGTAGTTTCTCAGGCAAGTTAGCTCAATAGTAGTATCATAGATTTCTAATTCAAAGTACCCTGATTCGGCTCTTACTTTGTGGTGATGTATAAAAAATGTGATATTTTAGAAACTAGTGGTCAAGATGTTTCTCTAGTCACAAATCGACTGAATATTAAAAAATCGAGCTCTATTGGCAACATATGTCAGATTCAGTTTCGGACCAATCTGTCCTCTACACAACTTAATTTGAAAGAGAAATCTTCCAATTACAAAATGCTAAGAGAGTAGACGCCTCTTTTGATATACGGTAGTGTTAGTACGTGGTGTATATTTTATGGCTCTTAGTAAAAGCCTTGCATAGAGCCGGGAGATGTCTCATTTTGATTAGAAATGTTCACTCTACAATCTGGTATCCTTGGAAATATTTCAAGAAGTTAGTTTTTTCAGGTTTTTCAAAAATTTTTCGAAAAGAAAACTTTCGAAACTTTTGGTAAAGGGCTAACTAGCATGGATTCTGATAACAGACACCCAGGACTATCTGATCACACGGTTAGCTACATGTCAACTTTTTTCTTTAGGTTTCTCACTGGGTCTTAAACAGACAAAATAAAAATATTCAAATTTTAACAATCCAGTTTTAAAGATCTCGTTGCCGGAAATCCAGTTAGCACATCTTAGAGAACAAACAGCCCCATTAAAATATGATATAGGGAAAGTATTGAAAAAAAATGCGTTAAATCCGGCGACAAAACCGGCATGTCATTCTACTGGTCCCAGCACGTCAAGCTTTTTGTCGTGTTCCTCGAATTTGTCCAAAGAGAAGAAGCAGTTATCATTTTTCGACTTTAACAACTTGTTCTGATCTGGTGATGAAATTTATGACTTATGGATTGATTTACAGAACCGAAAAGAGAGATATGTCATCTGCGATTGATATATGATGATGGTCTCATGGCAAAATAAAGAAAAAGTTCCGGTGGAGAAATAGAGCGACGTATCGTTCTAATACACCTCGCACATCAAACTCTTTAGGTTGTTATTCTGTTTATGGGTTACAAAGAGAGTGACTAGACAAAAAACATTCACCGAAACAGTTTCTAAAGTCAGAGAGTTTGTATTCATAGAAAACTTTAAATGAAGAACTGGGTTGGCATGGCTAGAAAAAAACTAATTCTTCTTCACGTTCTTTATCTATACATTATGATCCTCTTCTTATATTCACTTATTTCTGACTGGTCAGCTCTAGCTCCTACTATCTCCTTTACGCCTGACAATTTACTATTTTTAGAAAAATTTGATAATCTAGATAACTCACAAATCTGTCAGCTACATTTCTTTATTACTAACTATATAAAAAATACTGAACGTTTTTGAACCCCAAACAATCTCTTAACCTGTCTCCATTATGCCATATTTACCCCTCTCCTCTTCAGTTATCGTTCTTTTCTTTTTTTTCTGATTTTGCTTTTATTTGTCATACTTTTACCTTCTCATTTTCTTCTTTCTAGTCATTTTCTTCTTTCGTATTGTATGTATTTCGCGTGCGTGTATTCTGTCGAAATGTTTCTATCTAGCTGTGCTAGAAAATGAATGTGTCTGTGTTAATCTTTCTCTCTCTTTAACTATATATCAGTGTACGTTTACAACTTTTTACTTTGCAGAACAGTCAAAATGCATGGATTTTTTTTCCTCCTTCTTTTTGTTCTATTCAAATCTTTTTTATATAGTCGTTCTTTTTGCTTCTTCTCTTCATTACATAATACAATAAAGCTTATACTAACATTCTCAATAAATCATACATATTCGGATTCAGCGCGTCGAGCTCTATCAGAATATGTGGAATAATAGAAAAAAATAAAAAGTGCTGCATTTTTGAATTTCCTTAACTTTAATAACATGTTACGTTACTTTCTTCTTAATAATAATGGTGCAATTATTATTTTTATCACGATCAAAGAACAGAGAGAAAATTGTTTTTCTTCACCAGCATGAATGAATGCATGGTTCTGTTTACACACAAAAAACTTTTTGTGTGCAAACAGGATGAGTGTAGAACATATGCGCAGAAAATTATCCGTTACATTTGTCCGTCCTTTTTTTATTAAAGCCGTTGAATGACAATGATGACAAAATATTTGAAATATGAAGTGATTTGTAAGATTGTCCGTAGCTCAATATCAGTACTGTATGTTTCGTGTTTCTCTACTCATAAATTGTTGAGATCTCGCTGCAAAAGTGTATTCGCGTGTAAGTGACATAATCTTTTTAATTTGTGTAAGCTATATCACGTCAATTTTTTGGCTTCAGGTTTTCACTTACTACTGCACTTACGAGGAAACATTCTGAGATGCCGGACTCAGTTTCGACTCATTTATACCTCAGCCGATAGAGCATGTCGAGATGGTCATGATCCTAAAAGGATTCGTGCTCATGGCTCTTCCGTCAAAAGTTATCGAGATTTTTCTATTTTCTCTGTAGAAAAATAGAGAAATTACAAAATCTATAACTCTGTCTGAAACTAGAGTAGAAGGCTGACATTTTTTTCTGTGGTAGACCTACATGTCTAGACAATACATAGAAAGTTTCAACCTTCTAATTCATTCCGTTTCTGAAATACACAAATTTCTATTGCTAGAAAAATTGTAGTCTTTTACAATAGCAGTTTTACAATAGCCAATACACGTAGTGGAGGAATATTGTTAACTAAAAACTCTATAAGAAATGAAATTTTACTATTTGTGATGGTTAGTCGCTCAATTTGAGGATGTTCGTCGTTAGATTGAACGTTATCTCCCTTCTGCCACGTAGAGGTTTTATTTTATTTTAGTTTGTATGTTGGTAGTCGTTGTAAATAAAGATGATTTAAAGAAAATAAAAAGAAAGAAACTCTAAAAACGTTCAAAAAAGTAGTTAAAATACCTCTACGTGGCAGAAGAGAGATAACGTTCTATCTAACGACGAACATTCTCAAATTGAACGGCTAACTATCACAAGTAGTAAAATTTCGTTTTTTATAGAGTTTTTAGTTAATAATATGGAAAACGGAAACTTCAACACGAGGAAAGTTCAGCAGGAAACAAAAATATGAAGCTGACATTCTCTCTGCTCTCTCTAGTATATTTGCTGCAAAAAAGGTTAAAAATATTCGTTGTTGTTCTTTACACAACCCGTAGACTAGAAAGTAAACTTTTTCAGGTCGGTAAAAAGTTTTCGTACAGTGGATAAAAATCCTTTTTTACGTTGTAGCAGCACGGAAAATATATGAAAACTATATCAGTCGATAAGGGCAAACGCGACTTTACGCTAAAAGTGCCATGCTCTAGCACGTTTTTTTTGACATTGTACCACAAAAATGATGATGGATACCAAAATAAAATTTTTTGATCTAATTGCTGTTAAGGGTTAAGTGTTTATCGACTTCAAAGAATAACTCTGACCCATCTGTCTATGTGCTTTACCAGAGTGCGGTGAATTTCCTGATTAAAAGATCAATCAAACTCGTCCATCTAACTTCCATACTATATTATATTTGTTGTATTCAGTTTTGGATGCTCCTCCTTTTTCATTCGTAAAGCCATTTTTTATATATTAGAAACCATCTGTATTTGTTTTTCATGAATGTCAATTTCGTATTTTGTTCCGCATTGTGAAATATCAGTACTTGCGCTGATCTTTCCTCTCGTTGGTAGTTCCTAGTGATCTTTCCCGCGCTGAAAATTCCGTGCTAAACTTTCCGTGCTGAACTTTCACCCTTCCAATAATATTCACCTACTACTAATTGTAAAAGACTACAATTTTTTGTAACAATAGAAAGTTGTGTATTTCAGAAACGGAATGAATTAGAAGGTTGAAACTTTCTATGTATTGTCTAGACATGTAGGTCTACCACAGAAAAAAATGTCAGCCTTCTACTCTAGTTTCAGACAGAGTTATAGATTTTGTAATTTCTCTATTTTTCTACAGAGAAAATAGAAAAATCTCGATAACTTTTGACGGAAGAGCCATGAGCACGAATCCTTTTAGGATCATGACCATCTCGACATGCTCTATCGACTGAGGTATAAATGAGTCGAAACTGAGTCCGGCATCTCAGAATGTTTCCTCGTAAGTGCAGTAGTAAGTGAAAACCTGAAGCCAAAAAATTGACATGATGTAGCTTACACAAATATCAATAATTAACGCTAACGTGAATTGTATTTGTAATCAGAGGAGGAGGAAAGAATTGATATTCACGGTGAGACTTTTACAATTTTAAGGTAAAATAACATAGTTCTTATTTTTCCGCTTGTATTCTAGTAGACTAAAGCTTATATGAAAAACAGAACACAAAAACACATACCAGCAAAATTATTACTGGTAACATCGAATCGACTGCGCAGCTTCAATCGTTGTGGAGAATGTAGCACAACAGTGGATGGAGTTTTGCAGCTTCTGGAAAGCTAAGTTTATATGTTCGAATCTTTATTCGTACAAAACTGATTTTGTGTTCTTTCGATAGTTCCAGTATAGAATACTATAATGGAATATTTTTCCGTTTGTAGTCTGAAAGAACAAACCTTATATTAACATAGGGAAAAACATTTAGGTCGAGGCACAAAACTAACTCGATTTTCCGAGAAGCTTTCTTTCGGAGAAAAAGGATAGATCTCTTCCATCTGCCGTCTTAACCGCATAGTCTCTATTGAGAAATATGGTCTTAGAACAATCGTGTTAACATCTTATTCGGATTTTGGTTACATTCTTTCCTAGAGAAACCTTACTAAAATCGTGAGAACTGAAATTTTAATATTAATAAGATTTTGTCAAGTCTTACTCAGATAGACTTTTTAAAACTGAGAAAGAATTCGTAAGCGCAATATAAAAGCTATTGCAATTTCCATGAGATTCATGCAGGTTTTCTTCGAGATTTTCGAAAAACTCATGGAAGAGTTCTAAAGAACAACGAGAAGTTTGTGTTCTTGCGGATCCATTTCCCAACGCTGACTTCTAGTCACTTACGCTCTGTACACTCTTCTAGCGGTCTTGGAACGAGATCTTAAAAAGTAAGATCTTGCAAAACCTTAATAAAATAATTTCACAAAGCATCTAAAACAATTCTTACCAAGGGTTAACTCTTTCTTAGATAACAGATATTCAGTTCAATACTTTTACTATCCGATCCGAACCAGGATGGGCTAGGTTATCTTCTGTATGACCATTTATCACCCATAGTAGAAGACTTGTGGTCAGCGCATATATAACGTAACGCTCAAATCAAAAGCTAATGGCGTCCAAAAATGAGGGCCGCGTACGCATTATAGGAGATCCTACCGGCTATCTAAGCTGGTTTTTTTTGTGGATTCAGCAAAAACTGGCTTTGCAAAAATTGTTGAAGAAACTGAATTTGTAACGCGATCCTCGGATTTTTTCGTCTCAAAAGAGCTGTGAATTTTAGCTTTCGGAGATAATCATACATTTCTCACGCTTTATTAACAGAAAAAAGAAACGAATGGCTTTATATATGTACTATAAAAGTATATTTTTTATTAACAAAGAAACAGCTGCGCGAAAAAAACATAAGCTTTATATAAATACTCAAAGAAATCTATATTACGCGAGTGAACTAATAAACAGAATCCGTACTCTTTCGAAAGCTCGATGTGTTATACTGGACTGCTAATGTATTACAGAGGACTTGCTTCTCTCTCCAAACATTCAATAGAAAATAATCCGGGAAGGTACTAGAACAAGAACATTTAGCTTTCGGTACAAGAAAACAATGAAAATTTTTTGAAGAAAATATTATTAATAATTCTACTTTATTAAAGCTTTTAGCCATAAATGCCTAACCCAAGTAAAATTCCATGTCGCAAATGTGTGAAGAACACGGGTATTTTGACATGTGAAGGTTGCTCAAACAAACTTTGTGGTAAATGCTTCAATGAGCATCGACAGGAATTATCGAAAGAATTAGACAATGTCGTCTACGAACACGATACCCTAAAGCAACAACTTGAAACAACGAATCAATTGTCATCCCATCCGCTCTTTAAACAAATCGATCAATGGCAGAAAGATGCAATCGATAAAATAAACACACTCGCTGAACATTCTCGAAATGCCGTTGAAAAAGTACTGAATGATAACAAAGTGGAACTCATAAATCGTGTTCAGACGATCACTGACGAACTTCGAAAAGGTCGAAATGATGAAGATTATGTCGAGACAGATTTAGAAGAATGGTTGGAACAACTGAAACAACTTCAGCAGCAATTAGTCAAACCGTCTAACATCAGCCTCATAGAAGAAAAACAAACATCATGGATAAATAAAATTAACATTATAAACAGCAACAGAAAAACATCAGAAAAACTGGAGAAAACGTGTGGTGATGTCAGCACCGAAGAAAATGGTCAAGTTGCTGTACACGGATCAAGTGCAACTCATGCAGAAATTCGTGGTGCAAACATGTATTCGACAGGCAACATACAAATAAAAATGAAAATTGAGAAACTCTTCATTAATGATTGGATGTTTGTTGGCATCGTTTCTTCTTCCTTACCGATGAAGTCAAGTCCGATCAATTCCACATCTGCATTTGGCTGGATTATTGGAAAAAATAATTTCTGTGTGAATAACAAAAAAATAAACAGTTTCGGAGTTTGGGATGCCGATATCCAAGAAAACGATATCATTGAATTACACATCAACTGTGACAAAAAAAAAGTTCAGTTATCGAATTACCACACAAATAAACGGGATGAGATCTACGTTGATATCAGTATTTGTCCGTTTCCTTGGCAGTTACACTTCAATATCCATGGCTCTGGAGATCGTGTACGCCTTTTAAAAGAATGAACAGACAACTTACATTCCAAAGAACGAAATACATTTGAAGAAACATTAAATTAATCATTATTCGTCTTTCTATTGCAAATGATCCGCACGGTGACTGAAACCTAATAGCATATTCTTAGAAAAGTAAACTAGTGTTCTGTTGTAAATTGTTTTTGCCTTAAGTATCCTTTTTATACTTTATGAGTTCCAGCAGCCTTAGGTGTTAGAAAAGATGCTATCGAGATATTTAGAAAAGGAAAATAAATGGAACGGTAGAGATAAATAAATTTCTTTCTGTCTGTTGTGTTTTTTGTAGACATGGGTAAGGTTTCTTTCATCAATAATAGGAGCTGTGACTTTCGTCACAGTTCAACAGTATTAAAGGATGAGTTCTATGTTGTAAACCGTTAAAGCTCAGCTTTGTGCCTTAAACAATGCACATGTTTTCATCTCAAAATGTAGGAGAGGACCCATTCCATGAAGCTATGCAAGACCGACGCTCGAGCAACAGAGGCACCTTTTTACCGTATATCTTTGTTCTAACTATAGTGTCATATAGTTTTATCACTATTCTGTGCTGATGTGTTTCGTTCATTTCATAAGGAAAAAAAATTCGGTAATACTTCTTTTCTAATACTTTTTTCCTACGAATACTGTACACGGCTTAGACAACCGTAACGCTGTGACACTTTTGACACACTTTTTCTCGAATTTCTCGAGAAGGACACGTGCTGGAGAAGTTGGGTTGGTGCCATTTTATGTGCCTCATCGACCCCGATTCACCACAAAAAAACGAGCTGCCCCGACTACAGGATCACAGACCTGCATCTTTTTCCCGGGCGATAACATTTGACCACTTTTTCCAGTAGGTTGGGAAATCTGCATTTTGCGACGAAATAGCTGGAGCTGAAGAAAAGCCGCCGTCAGCAATCTTTTAGAGACTTGTTTGCTCTACCCCGATGGTAAAAAAACTTTTCTTTCTCTGATTTTTGGAAACGATACGAAAATTTCTTTCCAAAGGTAACGCCGTGACATTTTTAGTAACGGCGTGACACAAATTTTTGATAGTGAAGTTTGAGCCACTTCACCTTGTTCGATACTCATGAAAATTTCATCTAATATTAGTCTGAT